TTGTTCTGTTCCTTTCAGCTCTAGTGAAGTACTATCTGTTTAAAATTAAGCAATTACAGAAAAAGGTCTGTGCACTTACCTGCTTTAGTGGTTATCCTTTCAGAAAGGTTCTTTCATTTACAGCACCTAGAATCAATACACAAAGTATAGGATTAAGTGATGAGTTGAGAAACTTTAAAACAAAAATTGACTACTACAGTTGAACTTACCTATGACTTTGTTTAAAATAGTTGTTCAAAAATGATGAGATTTTTTGCTGCTGACTCTCCTGTTCTTCCAAGGCGTGTGTGTGTGTGTCTAAAAGGATAATAACCCTGCTAAACATAGTGTGGGAAAGGGGAAATACCCATCAAAGTCAAATTGTTAGAAACGGAATTACTACATGGGAAAAAAAGAAAAAGAAAAGAACTAGCTATCTTAAAATCTGATCTATTCTAACACAATTTTGTGCATTGATTTATATTTATGTAAATATTTTAAGTTTCCAAAAATATAATCTCACCTGAAATTTTGCCAGACATCAATTTAAGTGGGGTATTAACTTCTCATAAGAAGCTGATTCTCCTGTGCACAGAAAGCAATCTTTTAACATGGGTAGTAACAGTAGTAACATTTTTACACACATTTTTGCAAAATCAATTCATTGCTTGAACTGTGAAAGGTTCACTTCATTGATATCCTGGTTCAGATTAAATAGTTGTTCCTACTATTAAAGTTTTATAGCACTTGATTTCAAATATTATAGGCTATATACATGGGCAGATCCAGAAGATATGTCCAGTGTCAGTTTCAGCTTGACATATTCAACACCAGTTGTTCTCAGTCCATATTTAAACAATCTTCTGTCTTTTGAGACTCGCCATGTCATCTGTTTAACTACATACTGGGTATTTGTTAAAAACATGTATATTAATTTTTCACTATGTATAGTGATTACTATCAAAAAGTCAATATTTGCTAGTGATTATCACACAGTGGAATCTTCGATTATTCCTTACATTTAAAGTAGAATATGTGCATAGTAATGTCTGGTAAATATTAAGTAGCTCATAACTTCTTCTATAAATATTTCACAGACTCCTTTTAAAAAATATTCAAGGAATGAGAAAATTAAGCTTATTGTGAAATACAAAAGCTATACCAGTCTACCGAAATTAGATAAAATATGTGCTTCATGATTTGGAACAAATTATGATTATATTAGCAAAACAAGTAGAGCTGTGTGGAGGATGGAAACGTTCATCAAGAATTTCAAAATTTCTCATTTTAAATTAGAACAAAATGCAAAAAACTGAAATTCTCTGCAAAGAAAAATTCAAAATATGTCTGTGTGATGGGTTCCCCCTGCCACCTGTAACTGGGCTACCACTGAGTCTCCCTGACCCACCAGCCTGGGCTCCCTTTACATGGTACTGCTGTGACAAGCCCCCTCCTGCAGACATACAGATAGGGACACACCCAGTTGTAGCTATACACACATGCTGAGATCACCTCTGCATGGGAAGACTTACCTAAGGCGCCTCCCACTTCCTAAGGCACCCCCTCCCCTTTGAAGTGTAAACCCAAAAGTATATCTTCTTGTGCTGTTCAGGGAACTGTAGAGCGTAAGCTCATGAAATTCACCTCCTCCCTCAGTGTGGGGGAATATATGCAACAGCTTTCTGCTCCCAGTTATGATTTCCACACACTGGTTTTAGACAAAGCAAAAACAAGTATATTACCAAAAAAACATAGATTTTAAGTGATTATAAGGGATAGCAAACAGATCAAAGCAGATTACCTAGCAAATAAACAAAACTGCAATTTAAGCTTAATATACTCAAGAGATTGGATATCAGTAGCAAATTCTCACAGTAGCAAATTCCTTTCACAGGCTAGAAGGATTTCTAGCCTGTGAAAGGA